ACCGAAATTTTTATCAGTTCGGTTCAATTTTGGGTTCACAACTTTCGGTTCAGTTTCGGGGTGCAAAAATAACAGTTCGAACTGGTTTGAACTGCTAAATCGAGAATATATTTTGCGCATTGTTTTGGGAATTGGCACTATTTCTGCCATGAAACGTGCAACTATATAGCTTGTTTATCGTTCTTACTATCCACTTTCATTTTCAGTGTCGAAAATAAGAAATTGCGGTATTTAATTTCGACGCAACAGTAAAATAAAATCTAGATTAACATACAGAACGTTGTGTTTTTGCTACTCAAAATCCGTTTGTTTACCTCTACCACATATATTTTACCTAAATCGAAAGGTTGTCACGAAGTCTGGTAGGTCGCCTAAAATACCCGTGATTGGTACAACTTTGCGTCGCTGTATTAAAAGCTGAATTGTAGTTGTGCTTTTGAGCTAAGGAATTAATTGCAGTGCAAAAAATCATAGAATAGGTATTTCGAAATGAAATATAAATACAGCGAATGCGCTTTATAATATACAGGGTGCGGCCGTAAGGACAAACGCATTTGGCACTCTTTGCGGAATTCGAATTCTAGACGTTGTGGGAGCGAAGGTCTGCCACCCCGGCCAGGGGCCGCTACCGGCCGCCCAAAAAGGACACAGTCCCAAACGCACAACAGCGCATGAGGAAAGAGCCAATAAAAGGAGGACACGGCCACAGAACCGGGGTAGACTGACCGAGGGCACGGAGACGTGTCAGTCGAATGCTACGGCAATGTTGTACGTTAAATATTAACAACCTATTCCTGTTAATCTAATAAATGTAGTTTCTTGGTGTGGAAACCCCAGCTTTGTGTTTGTCCTACCGGATGGGCATGCAGCAAGGCAACCCTACCACATGGTGCCCAACGTGGGGCCCAAACCCACGACCCTGAGATTAAGAGTCTCATGCTCTGCCGACTGAGCTAGCCGGGCGTGCCCACAGCACAGAGGAGATCTTCCTCGCTCAGAAGAGCTATCTCCCACCACCTTTGGCCACAAACTCTCTCGAACCCGCATGTGCTTGGCAGGGCCCCGAGGCAATCCCGGCGCTAAGACCTCCACGGGACTGGCACAGAGTGCCCAATCAAAGCAGCCAGGGGCGCTCCAGTTTTGGTTCAATGCGGGGCCGCTGGAGGGCGTCCGAAGAGTGCCCTGGTGCCGGCGACTCAAGCAGGTATTCGGACCAATGCCACAACTGTGGACAGCGCGGCCTCTTCCAAAGAGAGTGCCCAAATACAAACCCGAGGCAGAACGAAACAAATGGCGGAAGGGCTGGAAGTGAGCGGAGGGATTGTGTAAATCCGCTCAACCCTCGCGTGCCTATGGGACGTGAAAATCCGGAAGGTCACGTGGCATCCCATTCGGGAAACTATTACGGCCGGCGCCAATGAGCCCTACTGCAGAGCTGCCGATGGCCACTATCACAGCTGGGATCACGCACGCAGCGTCACTTGTTCCATCGGTATGTCGAATTCAGCCTAACAGCGAAATGATTGAGCCACGCATGATGATCACTTTGCTCAGTTTTCCTTTTGCCACGCTTTTGGATACCGGGGCTGCTATCTCGCTTATAGGGGACGCTGCCTATGAACTATGCAAAAATAAAAAAGAAAAAGGATCTGGGGTGGGCACACAATCATGCAATACCTGAAATTGGACACTCGAAGGTAGCTTCGCAGGAAGTTTTATGCCCATATATTTTTAGAGCTTAAGTCTGAGGTGATGAAATAGTAGAAATGAAGCAAAAATCGGAGGTTGTGTATTTTCCATGCCCTAAAAGAGCTAGCCTGTATGTCGTCTGCACACTGGTCTATGAGCTCGCTCCCGGGTGGCTTGCTGAATGCAAAAACACTGAAAACCAGTGGCAGAGGCTGGTGATCAGCAAGATCATCACGATAATTAATACTTTTAACGAAATACATGAACAGTGCCCACCTGAGAGCAAGCTCACAAACCAGTGTGAAGACGACGAACATCCGGTAAAGGGTATAGGAAATGTAAGGCCGCCATTTTTGCTCTATTTTTAATATTTTACCATCTCTGACTGGAGCTCTGAAATTAAAAAAAACAAAACAAAAAAACTGACAAACCATATTGCGAAACTACGTTCGTGTACCCAATTTCAGGTATGTATGTTTTGAATGCCAACCTTTCAAGCATAGCAGCTACTTAATTGGTCACTTTCTGAAGGTCTGCATGCATAATCGTCATAGTTACACCACACATCCTGTTTTTGTACTGCCTGCAAACACATAAAATTGCTGTTCATTACATTAATTACAGATTTTTATGTTTGAGAAATTAAATATGGTGTCAGGAACACAGAATTATTTAAGGCTCTCCCAAATCACTTTGAGCCTATCAAGGATACAGAACACCAGAAAAGATCTTCAGAGAATCTTCCAGACAATTTGCAGGTGCATTTACTTGTGATGTATATCTTTTAGGTGATTGGCCCTTCATATATGTTTTCAAACCTTCAGTCAGTAATTAAATATATTTTTATTATCAATAAATTTGACTTCATGAAGTTTACATAACTGCTTGAAAACGATACGGAAGGACAATATTCGTAAAGTACACCAGCTGTTGTCTGTGGGAACGTGCTTTTTTGTTCGCTGTTTGGCATTGTGAAACACCGGGTCGCGGTATATGCCAAAAGGGACTTTGTGCTCACATGCTAGATCTGAAGTTAAATAGACCAAATGGGCAGGAATAGAAAGATAATAAATGGCTTTCTTCCCAAGAAACCGATGCATGACTTCTTACTGCAAAAATAAATTTGTAGGAATGTAATTATATTCCCGATTACATATACGTAAATAGAGCAAAGGACAGACAAACATTCTTATGCGGAGGGCAAGTTCGTCTGCTCCTTGCGCAGGGGGTAGCGATGACGTCAGAACGCCGAGCCCTGATTGGCTGATAGAGCCCCCCTATCTGAGCGTCGTCTGCTTCTTTGCAACGTCGTCTGCTCGCAACGTCGTCTGCGTCTGTCTTACGTTTCCTGCGACTTTCGGGAGTGCAGAGGCCAGATTCACGAAACGATCTTACGCCAAAAATGTGCGTAAGACAAAACTTAAGAACAAATTCGTATTCACAAAACGAAATTTTCGTAAGTTTTGCGCAGGTTACGGCGAAATCCTACGACAGCTCCGAAGCTGTTACGCACTTCTTACGATCAAGTCAGCATGGCCGACAGCGTCGCGGTCGCGACGACCCACGGACATTTATTTTTCTACGTGAGCTTCTCACGCGTCCTGACTTCAAGCAGCAAAAAAAAAAAGTAAAAATTATTTGAAACGGAGCACGACGAACAAGAACGCTGGATCCACAGACACCGGGGAAAAGCTCCAACGGCGACGATTCCACCGAACGTGACCAAACGAGCTGGGCAGTTAGGCCTAGCAGGCACTCCGCGACTCGGCGACCGTCTGCCCACGACCGGCTGACGTGCTGAATGGAATATGCCCGCGCGACCCTTGTGAACCCTTCCCGTGTTATACTTTGATCGCTGACCTCAATTTTAGATTAAGAGGTCAATTTCTTCCTCTTGTTATCTCCTTGTTTCCCGAGGCAACGGTGACTCTCGCCGGTGAAAAAGCGGCGAATCTCCGACAGACGCAGGAAAGGTAAAGCAGCCATCGCTTTGACTAGCAGACGTAAAGCAGACGACATTAACTGCGCCAATCCGCCGGCGCCGTTAAAGAGTGAGGGGTCTCGCCGCACACGAATGGAGGTAAAAAGTATTTGGGAGGGAACTTGCGGACACAAAGCAAACAAACCTCGGCGCCCCGGGACACCTCGCCAGTGAGTCCTTTGACTTCCCTCCTTGATGAAAACAACGTACCGCTCGAGTTATTTCGTCTGAGGCCAAGTCGAGTTCGCTCCGAAAGTTGCAGGAAAGGTAAGACAGACGCAGACAATGTTGCGAGCAGACGACGTTGCAAAGGAGCAGACGATGCTCAATAGGAGGTCGCGATCAGCCAATCAGGACTCGGCGTTCTGACGTCACCGCTACTTCCTTTCTCATGCGCAGAAGACGAAAATGAGCCCACTTGCGAGGCGTATACAGTGATGTCTGGTTAACATGAACACCTCTGTTTCCTCCAAGAATCGTCTATAATGTGAGTTGTCCATTAAATGAGACAAAAATGCATATATCTCTCCAGTTTGTCCCCGAAAATGGTGTCCATATAGCTGGGTATCCATATTAACGGGGGTTCCTTATAAACTAGACATGACTGTAATCCTAACATAAATCACATTAGAGCATCAGCTAGCATCAACTTGAAACTTTGCAAAATACCACCTCTGGAGGCTATATTCGGTTTGACGTGCTTGCTTTGGCCCTCCCTTTACAACTCTGTGCTTTATCAGTCACGTGCTCTAGCATTTTATTAGGCTGCCATATATCAACCCGAGAGTTCCATATATTTGCCTCAAGATTCAATTCACACGGCTCATGTGGTGAAAAGCAGATCTACGCTTTGTTGTACACTTACTTCGAAGAGAATGAATACTATGCTTGTATTCGTTGACTAGGACATATATGTCACAAAATAAAAATTTTCAACCCCCCCCACACACACACACGCATGCACACATGCACACACACACAAACAAATAGTATAATATTTGTTTACGACGAACATCTTGAGTTAAAATGATTTCGAAACAGCTTCTGTATCAAGACATCAACCCCGAAATGGAAGCATGTACCGGTGTTTCTCAAATGAGCCTCGCATCATAAATATTACATTCATTCTTTTTCTTTTTCTTTTTGAGTGAGAACTTTTTTTGTGACTGTGACATACGCATGCTCTCTAGGCACTTAAGGATATGTTTATTTTTTTTTGGTTAGTTCAGTCTCCCCTTAACAGTTTTTGCAGCACCTAAGCTCTCATGAGCACGCGTCAGAAGCATTGTTTCTCTGGGTTGCTCAGCGGTTCTCTCCCGTTGTGCTGCAGGGGCCGGAGCGATGCTGGACGGCAGCAGTGAGGTGAACCCCAACGGGTCGTGGCTCAACAGCCGGGGCATCTGGCTGGGCTACTGCCTGGGCCTGCTGCTGCTCCACCTGGCCATCCTGGGCTTCCCCTTTCTCACTGTCGCCTGGGCCTGGACCCTCACCAACCTCCTGCACAACGTGGTAGGTGCCGCACATACGCACGCCGGCTGCATGGTGCCTGGAGTGCGTCTTCGACGGGCGCTTTTAGCGTCCCGTGCTGCCCGTGCTTTGAAACCGGTCCCAAAATGGAACGAATTGTGTCGTGGGAGCTAGCCTGTCGGGCTGTGTGATGTCGCAGTCCTGGCGGTTTTCTCAAAGGTCATTTTTCGGCGTTTCCCTGTCTCATAGTTTTGTTCAAACAAAATGAGATGCCTGACCAAAAGAAATGAGAGGAGTTTACAATTCCCTGTAATGCCAAATTAGAGTGCAGCTCTTGAGGAGGAGGGGAGGGTATGGAGGGGAGGGTATCCTCTTTTCCTTTCCTCCCCTCCTCACCTCCTTACCCTCCCCTCCATCTTCCTCCCCTCCCTCCCTTCCTCCTCCCTTTTAACGTCACTTTTGACCCTCATGAAGGTCACTGTGAAGGTCGTGACCTTTGTCGTGACCTTTGTCGTGACCTTTATCGTGACCTTTATAAGTGACCTTCATGACGTCACTCGTGACCCTCGTGACGTCACGTGTGACGTCATTATGGGGAACGTCCCATAATGCAATGCGCGGTTACGCCAACGGCGACGCCGCTCAAGCGCCTAAGAGCTGTGCTCTAGAAAAAAACCTTCAGCCTTTCCACTCCGGGGAAGAAGGAAGAGCAGCGGAGCTGTTGCTGTGTATGTCGTTGCTCTTTCCGCACCTGGTCTTCTTTTCCCGAATAAAGGGCACGTGGCCGATTCATCATGAGTCCAAACCGAAACTGACAAGAGCGTAGGAAACAACGTGGCAAAACAGACGAGGACGAAGAAGAAACACTTGTGACGTGCGCTGCGCTCGTCCCGTGTGTTTCTTCTTCGTCCTCATCTGTTTTTCGCGCTGTTTCCTACGATGAATTCCCACCAACTTGCCCAACTATCCATTCCTCTATGATAACTGGAAAGGTTGCCGCCATCTCTGAGCGACGGCGGCAATCAGACTGGTTGTCTGGTTGTCGCCATCGCTTATAGATAGCGGTAGCTGTCCAGAGGTTTGCGTAGGTTTGTGTCGACGTTTGTTTGGTACCGGGCACGATCCTGGGGAACCTAGCCTTTAACAGCTCCACTGTAAAAAGTTTTTTTTTTTTGTTTTTAATTTTTGAGGTAGTACTTAATTCCTTGAGCTACAATTCTGTACACCTACGTTTATCGTGTCGTCGTGTTTCTCTGTTGAAACACGTGTACGGCGAAATGGCCGACCCATCGTACGGATCTGACTACATTAAGATATGTGGAATTGGCCTCCAACATTCCTGGCATGCTAATTACGTGCCTGCGATCTAAAATTTGTTTACGCGTCGGTCGTTTTGGTGCGCATTTTTCTCGCCATTAGCTCAAGAGGATGTGCGCGTTTTGTTAAGACCAGATGTGCCAACGTAGGCAACGAATTGCATCGTGAGAGCACTTGAACTGGTGCAACTGGGGCACGTTCCACAGAAAGCTTGCGTACAAAGAAACAAGTGATCAACCAAAGATGTTAATTTCAGTATAAAAAAAAAGGCCTTACTGTATTAATGCACCACCATACAGGATTTATTGCGTCGATGTACAGGTCAAAAAAGCTATCCCATCGCCATCTGCTGGTCCAGAATCACACTAATCGAGAGTGGGGTTTCACCCTATAACTCCATAAATTTGCTGTAGGGTTATATTTCTCCTTCAATTTGTTGGCAAGCGTATTGAAATCGTCCCTTGCTTGCGCACCTATCGCAATTACAATACATGTACATGTGCCTCTCAATGTGGTTTTGCCACACCGAACATACAAATAGACAAATGTGACTTATAACCATCTTTTTGTGGAAACATCCGTTGGAATGGCTGTCGCAGCCACTATAACGTATGTTTGCACGAAAAGATTGTTATGACTAATAAAAGATTGTCCTAGACCAAAAAATATGGTACTTGCAGATGTTAGTTCGAGCAAATATTAACATGGTGCGCATTGCAGGACACTCAAAATTCATGGTGCAACGTCCTCGGTGATGCTTTCACCACTGGAGTCATGTACAATGAAAACAGACTTTTATGTGAGGTGGAGCAGCACTAGGCTAACATTTTTGCTGCAGTTTTCAATTTGTGCACTTAGGGCTTGTCCATCGATAGAGCAAAGCGGTATTTGAGCACTCGTGAGCTCCAGTGATCCAGTTTACTTGGCAAAGCCTGTTAGGACTTAGTGGCCCCGAGCACTTTTTAGGACTCTTGCTTATGTCTTTAAATGTTTCCTTTAATCGTGCAAGTATGGACAAACAGGCATCACTAGAGATTTATGTGATCCCACAAGAGGGTGCTTCCTAGAGGTATGTTTAGTGCACTGTTACGCACTGTCTGCTCCTTCAAATATAGGTTTGTGGTGCAGAGGCACAGGCACATGAGTCTGGCCCAAGAGAATGTTTGTATGAGAACTGAAGCGTAGAAGGCGCTTCCCAAAGCCATGTGCTCGTGCCTTCGTCAGCTCTGCAGATGTTTGTGACATGGATTAGGAGCATTAATGACCTCCTAAGGCAGTTGTTCTCAACAACTGATGTTCTGGATTGTCTTTTGGGCCAACGGAAGTTGGGGGTTGGGGGGGGGGGGGGGGGGGGGGAGCCTCACTGCTGGGGCTAGAGGGGAGGTGGGGCTCCCCACCACTTCTGCTGGCCCAAAAGACATTTTAGAATGTCAGTGGTTGTGAACAACTGTCTCAGGTGGTCATCAATGCTCTGAATTCATCTCACAAACATCTGCAGAGTTAACAAAGGAGCTGACAATGGGCAATTACAGCGACAAAAGGGTAAATGAGAAAAACTAATTGCTTGCAAATCGAGTGTTGGGAAGTACTTCAAGTGCGGTGTACTTAAAGTGCTACTTTAAGTAAGTGTAGAAAACTTTTGCACTACTTGAAGTATATTCTCCAAGTGTGTAGTTGTTCTTTACTAGAAGTATTTTTATGGTACGTTCCAAGGGAAGTACAACTCCCAACTTTAAAGTACATTCCGCTAATTTGGTCTTGTTATATTTGTATCCCAAAATGATGCTTTGTAAACTAAAAAGAAATACTGGGGGGGATATTCAACTCTCACTAGAAACGCGACTACACTCAATCTGTACTGGGAATGGCTTTCCTGCAACATTTCAAACTCTCGCTACTTCTCGCTACTGCTCTTCGAGCGCTCGCTGGAATGGGCTGTTTGGGACAAAAGATATAGCCATCCACTCAAGATACAAATGTGCAATTGTCATTAGCAGATTTTTTTGAAGGTGAGAGGTATATTTCAATTTTAATTTCAGTATCCCTTTAACACTGTTAAGGCCCATTTACACACTCGCACTTGCATAGGATTGACCGATACAAGACCGGTTTTTCAGCCTCTTGCGACGGCTTACAACCGACTGCGCTACAATGCAGCCGGTGGTAAGCTCGCAAGAGGCTTAAAAACCGGTCTGGTCTCATTCGGTCCTAGTCAAGCGCAAGTGTATGAACGGGCCTTTAGAATGGGCAGCAAGAACCCCAAAAAGTTAAGGCAATCTGGATATGACGCTGCGGCAGACATTCCAGCTTGCGTGTGTAGTTCTGGAAGATTCCGCGAGTTTGCCTGGGTTTTTCTAGCGACGATGGTTGGGGGCCAGTCGCTGAAGCTTCTGCTTGTGTCCTTCCAGGCCATGTTCTTCTTCCTGCACACACTCAAGGGCACGCCTTGGGAGTCTGCAGACCAGGGGAAGTCTCGCTTCCTCACTCAGTGGGAACAGATCGACGACGAAATGCAGTTCACGGCCACAAGGAAGTTCCTGACCGTGGTCCCAGTTGTTCTGTAAGTAAGCCCCAGCTCGGCACCTTCAACACGCTTTAGACGGGCCCGGCGTCTTGATGTCGCAACACGGGTTCCTTGCGTTCACGCGCAGGTACAGTGAAAATTCTAATTAATATGTTTTCCTATTATCATCATTAAAATTGTAATTTTCTCGCATTATTTAGTTACCCAGATGCATGTTAAGGATGAGATAATAAATTTTTTATGTGGCATTGAGAATAATACTTGAGATCACCAAAACAATTTGGTCACGAAAATTATCTATTTCAAATCGGAACCAAGTTAAATCTCGCGTTGCCGTCATCATCACCGCGCGGGGTTCGCACGAAAATGTTGCATCCCTGATTGGCTGCTGCCGCTTCAAACGTCTCCCGGTTGCTGGAGTTGATCGCTCATTTCGAACCGGAACCTTTCCCAGCCATTTGTGTTGCAGCGCTAGGATCTTTGGAACAATTTTCCGGCAAGCCCGAAATGGCTGGGAAAATTGCCCCGTCTGAAGCGGGCTTTAGAACTGCAGTCTATGTAACCTCAAGAGGAAATCGGTTGAGCTGGAACTTAATAGCCCTTTTCCTTAAATCCCAAAACGCCATGCATCAGATCCTTGCTCCCACATGGCAGCGAAGAGAGAGTGGTAGGGTTGCATATTTTCCCACCTGCCTTTGCCTGCTTGCCGTTGCCTCCAGCATCGCCTCTGTCGTCTGCTAGAACCGGTTCTTCCTTAAGTTCCCGGCGTTCCTTTTGGAGTCTCGGACGGCGCTGCACGCTTCGCAAAAAGTCTGTCGTGGAACTGGTCTTGGCTAAATGCAGCTGGAAAGGACGTTTCATCCAACTGGATCCAATGAACCTTTTTCCAGCAAGTTCCTGCGCATGCGTGTACACCTCATCTCCTGGCCTTTCTTCCCCGCACTGTCGCCATTTTTACAGGGCAGAGTGCCGGTCGACCAACATATTCAGCACCTGTCTGCACATATTTCGTCTTTTTTGGCCATTCTCGTTTGAGTATGCTAGTATGGTTCATAAAAGGCAACGAAGATCAATACAACGGCTCGATGCCAGTGTATTCTGACGGGACTCTGCCCTTCATTTGTAGTTCGAAGAAAACTCCGCAGGCGGCGCTCGTTACTGGATAAAGGTCCATTGTACCCATCTGGGTCCACAGTCACCGACCAGTCTTTCGGACTTGGAGGGAACTTCAAAATTCTCCGAATAATCAAGCGGTCAGAAAAATCGATTTCGGCCAAAATATCAAATTTCTGCGCACAATCCGCTGCGTATTGGCCACTTTCCACTTGCTCGATGTTCATTTTAAGTTCTCGTGCAACTTTTGCTTTATATTGTTCGCTTTTTACTTGTTTGTTGATCTGTTTGATCACGGTGCTGCACTTTGTCGGCGCCTTCGTTGGCACAAACAGCTAAGTTGAAGTTGGTGCCATTTGGCACTATTTGTAGACAACGTTTAGTCCACTAAGCTCGCTTCAATAGTAAGCTTATCAACAAAAAACCTTCGCGCTCAAAGACCACAAGGACTGAAGACAGCCGCTCTTTTCGTGGTCGCACTTGATAAACAGGGACCACGAGGAGGATTGGGAGAGCCATAAGAATGGGCAGACGGCGGCCATGTTGACTATAGTGGAACCGAAAAACCCGACTGTAGCCTCAACCCAGCTTGTTTATTGCGTAGGACGTAGTATTGAGGCCACGGGGCAAAATCAAAACAACTAAAATGGTGGTGACTAGGCTCGTGGCACTATTGCGGCAGCTGTTTTGTGGCTGTAAACTGAGGAAATCACTAGGGCTGTGCGAATATTTGAAACTTCGAATACTTCGCGAATAATGCTTGCTATTCGATTCGATTCACTTCGCACTTTCGCTGTTTGAAGTAGTATTTGAGTTTTTCGAATACTTCAGAAACTACGAATAACGCAGAACTCGCCGATTAGTGTCAACTCGCGGTTGAGTTCCGTCTTGTTTTTGGACTGCGCAATACGGTTTCAAGCTTGGCAAATCCAAAAAGCCAACAAAGGTTTCCTTTTTTTTATGATGCACTGGAAAGGTATTTGCGGTAACGCGATCTGTCCTCTGCTTGCCATGATGTCTGGATTCTGGAGTTAGTGAAGTGGTCGTGACGCAAACGCTGCGATAGATTTAATGAAGTTTGCAATGGCACGTGCATTGTCGTAAGCACAAACGCGACGAACCACTCTCACTAGTATGGATTCGAATATGGATTTACGACTCACCTCGGCTATCGTTGATATCTGGTTTGTGTTATTTTCCGCTTTATTTCCCGGTTCATCAGTTTGCTGGTATTTCTTTTATTTAATTCTACCCGTTTTCACTGATAAAAGTGAGACTGTATTTTTTAATTTATTGTTTCTTTGTGTCGCCCTCTATCGGCAGAACTATTGGACACGGAAAGAGATGGCGCAAAGTCAGGGCGGCTGTGCGGTGCTATCGCACGATCAGCACTATCTCCTAAAAAAATTAGGTTATGTGTATGCTTATTCAGCCTAGAACTTGGTCTGCCTCCAGTGGTGACGAGTTTCCTAGCTGTAGATGAGAAGTTTTGCCAGCGCAGTACAACTACTAGCCTGGGGCCCTTAAGGTGCACCACGCAGTAGTAATACACGACCACACACCGATACGATGCTCATCCGGATCGAAACTTGCAGAGGTGGGGATTGAACCCAAGACCCTGAGTTCCGCAGTGCGAGTTTTCGCTCCATGTTCTCAGAGCTGGTGTGCTCTAGCCCACTTGGCCACCGATCCCTCCCAGCACAATCTCCAACTCTGCTGTGGACTGCCGTCCCGCCTTTGCTCGTGTATTTCGGTTTACGTTCACGCGGTTGCGTTCACCCGCGTAAAAAGATTTTGCACAAAGTCAGTGCAGCGGCGCAACGCGGCATTCAGCTTCGTATTGTGGCTTGCGAACCAGCCAACGCTTGTCTACTTTCGTTTATGTACACGTAGCTACGTTCATCTGCGACGCGATCTCCGACTGCGTTATTGCTTGCCGACCTGCCTACACTTGTCTACTTTCATTTACGTTCTGTAACTTCACTCCTTGAATGGTGTTTTAAGACTGATCTTTTATTTCATCTGTTTTTTTATCAATCACATGTGTGGCATTCTTTCTTATTGCAGTGAAATTGACCTTTTCATAAATGTTTGTTAAAAAAAAAGAAGATTTAAAAAATTCCAGATGTGTTTTGATTGACCCTTCTTGTTTAAGAGGCAACACTGCTTCTAGAGCTTTTTTTAGATATAACTTGTGATTAAATTCAAATCAAATTTACATAGCTTATCTGCCATTACAATCTGACTACAAATATGTGCTTGGTTCAGATGTAACCTAATCAGTTTTGTTATAATTAAAAATATAACTTGCAAGTTTTATGGGAGGGATTAAGGCAAATTGAAATACTGAAATAAAAAAAAAAATAGCATATTTTAGGGAACTAAAAGGTATGTGGAATACAATAAGGCATAAATGAAAGCCCTAGGATGCTTTATAAACGTTTTAGGACACTATTGAACTCCCCAGTTTCAAAATGATTTATTGCAGGATGCCCAAAAGGCACCTAAAAAGCCTGATGCCCTATTTATTATATTTGAACCCCTTGTTGCATACGTCACACATACACCCACCAGAGAAAAAAAAAAAAAAAAAAAAATGAAGGCTAGATATGTGCTTTTTTTGAGCAGATATCTAGCCTTCATATTTTTGCTTCATGCTTTTTGCTCGAACTGTGCCGGTGATAGCTCTGGCCATAGTTTTGTTTTCCAGATAAGCTTTGAAAGGCTGAAGCCGACCTATAGAAGATAACATTTTAAGTCCATTTTGGTTATTCTGGACAAAATTCTTCTACTCAGAATGTTATAGGGTCATTAACGGACATGGTGACGTCTAGATACGTGACGCTGACTTTGACGGGCGATGTATTGCCTGCCAAATTTAGTGGGTGACTCCACTTCTCTGTCGCTTTTTGGTGTTTGTTTTATGTCAGTCTTTTGCTACATTGCCAGGCCTATCAGATATTCCACGAACAGAATGTATATTTAACAAAAAGCCGGAGAATTAAAGGAAAAAAAAGCTGTTGTTTGAAAATATTGTACTAGTACCATTCTGTAAGCACTTACAGTGTGCTTGGTTGCACCGTTTCCTTCATGATTGCATCTGGACTGGACGATCCAAAGGTCAAGGACATTTTGCTTTGTCGTTCTCGAGCTGGGAGGATAGCTGCGACTCTGTCACTTTGGTTTGTTATCAGATTTTGGAGATGTGTGCAGTCCGTTTTGTGTGACACGCACAAAGAAAGAATGACTGGGGGGGGGGGGTCTGGGAAAGTCAAACACCCCTAAACAGAACAGGCGTTTTATCTCTCTTGTTTGTTGACTTTGTTTGGTTACGAAAACCTCTCATATGCAGGTTTCTTTTGAAAGCGCTGGGTGCAGTGGTTGGTACTGTAGTGGACTATAGTAGGAGACGACGACGAGAGGAGAATGAGGGCCAGAGCACGAGACTGACAGGATCTCGTGTGGTTAGTCTGCTGCAGATATCATTCGAAACCACTTCACATTTTAGGAGCATTAAACAAGTTATAAATGGTGACCCGGACAAAACACCTTCGCCTTCGGTGCACCGTCATGAGCAACATCGAAGACTCCACGGCAGGCGAAATCTCATCCGTACATGTTCGTCTTCCAAAGTAGTGCACCGCCAATCCAAAGCTATGGTTTGCTCAAGTCGAAAGCCAGTTTTCCACGTATCGCATCACTTCGCAAATCCGCATGTTCCACTAAGTCATCGCCGCTCTTCCACCTGAAATAGCGACCGAAGTACAGGATTTAATCTTCGTTCCACCACCGAACGAACCTTACACCACCTTGAAGACGGAACTGGTGAAGCGCACGTTCGGAATCTGAACAGTGCCGACTACACCCACTCTTGACAACCAAAGAACTCGGCGACCGCAAACCGTCGCAGCTGCTCAGACGCC